TCGAGAACTTAAACCTCCGTTTGCATTCTTTGAAGTTCCCCCAGTGCTTTGCTATACCACTACATTATCCCTGCAACCATATCTGTGCAGAAGCCACAGCTGTTCCCTGAATTCGGACGGCTTCTCGCGCATATTTCTACATAAAGCTTGTATGACTAATTTTGATTACTTTCCAAAACAAGAGGGATATTACTGAGCTATATCAGTGCCACTCCCACTGTATTGATTTACACCAAATTTATTAATATGAATGGTAATTATTAACTGCTTCTGCACCAAACTGTTGCAATTAATATCCTCATTACGATCCTTTTCAGGAACTATGGATCGAAAAATTTCAGGAATCAATCGAAAATTACGAATCAATTCAGCTTAAGGATATGTTAAAATGTACGCCATTATATTCCAGTTTATCGTTAAGGCGTTGTTCCTCGTCACGTTTGATGCAATGTAATGTTTGTAACGATACCTCGATACCTCAAGCGATAAACAGCAACACACACTACCACGCAGTAAAACACCGTCACCAACATCTGAACAACAAATTCTACAATACACCGCTAATGATGCTTAATTCATGCGGTATTTTGGTACCCGTGTTGTAACTTACATGCAAAATGATATACCAGCGCCAAAAGGATCGGGAAAAAAAATGAAGGCAACGGGGCAGAAAGTTGACAAGAGACTAACAAAAGGATGAATCACGATGTTTCGATCCGTTAAGTCATGAACTTCTTAGCTCAGCACTGCAACTCCATCTTGTCGGCGCAGCAGTTCAGGTGCAGATTGAGAAGGCTTACAAACACAAAAGAGCAGAGGTGAGAGGAGGAGAAAATTAAGACCTGTTGGTATCAAACTTTCTGCTGCGGGGCGGAGATACTCGAAATTATCTCAAGTAGTAGAAAGTGCTAACAGCAACCATTCGTTAGCAAGGCCACCGACGGCTTTCTCTTTCAAGTTGCTTAAAGTAAGGAAATGGCCGATTTCTCTCACAGCCATGCATGAGTACCAATTTACCGCTGAATGACTGAGCGAGTCGTGCAGAGACTGAATATTCTTCCGGCTGAATCAAACAGTGGAACAGATGCGAGTGCGAATTTGTTTTCGTAAATTAATTGTTGTGACATCCTTTAGCATTGTTATTATGTTGTTTAGTGAACATCGATCATGTCGAGGCATTTTCTTCGATTTGCAGTATTTGTATCATTTACTACTCGAGGACCAATTCTGTAATTTTATTAAAATTTTTACATAAAGAATTTTTGGAGCAGTACTCGCAATTAAGGAACGAACCATAAGAGATCTTGTCAAGAAAGTGAAAAAAAACCGTGATTTGTTGTTTTAACTGAAGACACTTTGCTCCAGAATCGCGTTGTTGCTTGATGATCAAGAAAAATGAGAAAATTAACCATTTTCGTGCATTTTTAAATACCGACAAGAACTTTATCACGTGGAATCTGTTATGAATGTTTAATTGTATAAAAATAACAATTGCTTTGGTACTTGGATCAGCCGTTATTCAGTTTCTACATCTGTCAGTGTATCATCTGGTGGTCAGCCTGATATCCATACACAGATCTGACAATCTATAAAAAAGGCATTTCACAATTCAAAACAGTCCACATTCTTGTATCTGCAAAGGCCGCGGAACTCGAAATTGTCCCATATGAATCCTGACCACATCGATATCAAATGTAACAAACAAAAAGCAGCCACTTTATGGAAGAAACAAAGATCCATGATGAGTGCCAGGAACTGGTAAGAGTTCAGATTGATACTTATTCGCGACAATCACATGTATCAGTACATCTCGGTTTTTATGCGTTTTTTGCAGCTACGCAATGCAAAAAACGCATACTGACGAGAGGTTATCTGTGTGTGTGTGTGTGTGTGTGTGT